CAGCCCTCAAGTATGCATGGTTCTCACGTAGAGGAATATAAAAATTTTTTGCGAGTAAGTTGCTAACATGGGAACCGGAAAGGCTAAAAGGCTGCGACTTTGATGGGATGTTGATGAAAACCTCTTTTGAAACGGGCGCTTTCATCACTAATCTGCGCTGCGTCCTGATTCTTAGTGAAATCAAACTCAGCTTCCAGGTGTGTGTGGTCCCTACATACGAGCCCGTGAAAATTTTTGACGGGTGAGTTGCTAACGTGGGAACCAGAAAGGCTGAAAAGCAAAAATTTGGAGAGGATGTTCCCGGTCCACGTAGGATCTAGTGAATTCAAGCTCTGCCCCTAGCTGCGTGTGGTTCTCAGGTACGAGCCAGTGAGAATTTTTTGCAGGTAGGTTGCTCAATCGGAACCAGGAAAGCTAGAAAGCTGAAATTTCAAGGGGATATTTCCTGATAGTTCTGGCGGCCAGTCTCAATTCTTTTAGCTAGAAGAATCTGCTGGAAAAAACAGTGCCGTTAGCGACAAAAACCTGTGCGGAGCTATGCAAAAAATGCATTCTCGCACCGGTAGTCGGTGCGATGGCTAATTATTTTAATGTAACTTCATGTCAGCTGCATAACTATGAAGGCGCGCTGGCCAATTATTTTAATATAACCTTATCTATAAATAACAACTGGTTCATCTGGGGTTTTTTCGCACAGCAATTAAAAGGAGACAGGCATATTTACACTCAGTGAATGCATAAAGTTGTCAACTTTTTGTAACCTTGCAGATGAGAGATTGGTTTGACTGTAGCCACACCGTTTGGTAGCAAAACTGTGGTGTAAGGTGATGAATTTTGCGAGATACCATGCTGGCCATGCGGGGTATCGGCAAGATCATCCAGGTATCCATCGTCTGACAGCTCCTCGCTGTCGCGCTTCCGTTTTACATTCTTCGAATATTGCCTGTAAAGAAAATAAAACTACAGAAAAACTTTAAGTATTCCATAATGTGACCTAAACATGCAACATGCTACAACTACCGCTTTAGCGCTTGCACGAAAAAAGCTAGTTGAAATCAATACTAAGTTCAAAAAGCTAAGTTAAAGCCCAGTAATCACTGGAAGATAGATGCGGCATGGACAGTGGGCCTTCCCAATCGACGGTCAGCGAGGATTCAGTGAAAAAAATGCATCAGCATCTCTTTCCGTGGTCTTTTTTTAAGTGTTTCAGAAATTTTAAAGACAAAAACAATGAGAATATCCCCGGCTAGGAGGCTGGAAGAGAACGGAGACCTGAAATCTTTTATGTGTTAACATATGTAGTTTAACTTTGATTTTGAATGGTCACAAACATCCTCAAAACATAAACGAAGGGTAGGAAGCTACATCGGCGATTCCTCATTTATATCTGCGCGCTTTTTCTTTCTGTGCATACAGCTAAGGGATGAAACACAGACTGCTCAGCAACATATCCAAATGATTTTTAGATTCATTAACTTTTATTTTAATATCCTCTCAACTCTGCGAATGCCATAAGAGCCCCGTTAGTTTTTTTCCCCTCAACTCAAGTAGACAGTTCCTTTTAAAATAAATAACAAAGCTACTGATGAATGATGACTTAAAAAAATACGTTGCTCGATCATCCAAATATGGATCAATCCAGATCATTTGCGGGAACAGATCCCATTGCGACTCCTCCATCTCACCACCATTTCCTGAAGACATGCGTATTTTTCGCTTCTCCCGAACATACCGATCGCGAACTTTTTTCCACTGCTTGTAGATACAGTTGATGTCGCCTACAAAAGAGATAGCTGTTCATTTATTGAATTCAAACACCTTTTCAAAATCTCTACTTCCTTTTCTGGAGTTAAATCATCCGGTTTTGCCGCTGATATGGATTTTCTCGTCGGATTGCATAAAGTGCACCAGCGAATGCCTGCCCCGATAATCTAAGTCCAGAGAAAAAATGAACTTGAAGATATCATAGAGGGATTCAGGGGAGGGGAGGAGGGATGGATCTTCTGT